TGCCTGCTGTGAGGCTGAAGTTTTAGTTTGAAGGTGAAGGGAAAATCTCTGAAAAGTCTGACGTGAGAAAATGCGTACATTGAAAATAGCAGTGGGGCAGCTGCCAGGGAAGATGGGAGGTAGGGGGTGCCATTTACATTGTATTCTATGGGATGATGCCTGCTGGGGTTGCACAATATATCCCGTCCTCATCGGTGGGCCAGATGTTAGGAAATAGGGAGACCAGGAAGGAAGCTACTGTGACACTCTAGGCAACAAATGATGGCGGCTTGGTGAAGGGGGAGAGGAGACTTGATTGATTACTCACATTAATTCTAGGAAATACTTACATAGAACCTGCTATGATGCTGGTACTGTACTTAGAGATTTACATGTATTAATAAGATTCAGAACAACACTAAGAGGCACCTTATTTACCACATTTTATAGATGTCAAAGCTGAGGTCCAGGGAGGTTAAATGACTCCCCAAGGTCACACGAGTAGTTTCTTTCTGACCTGGGCCTTGAACCCAGGCTGTCTGGCAAAAGAGTCTGTGCTCAAACCACTGAGCTAAACTACTGAAAGGAAGTCCAAATAGCAGGACTTGGCTATCAGTCAGATGTGGTGGGTTAAGAGAGAACAAGAGAAGTCTAAAATGACTGTTAGGTGGTGTCACTCACTCAGATAGTGATGGGTAGGCAGGGCTGATGGGAATTTAGTTTTGGACACACTCACTGTGAGATGCTAGTGGGCACTGAAGTCAGGGAATGTGTGGGGCTGGAGACAGAAATGCAGGTGCCAGTGGGGTCTGCTTATGGGGTAGAGCTCTGAAAATGGACTGGACCATATAAGAGTATATGTGGTGTGAAATGAGAGTCCGGGACCAAAGCCTAAGGAGTTTAAGCAGTTCTGGAGCAAGTGGAGCAAGAATTCAGAGAAGGATCTCCCTAGGAGTAGGGAAAGACCAAGAACAGAGCCCTGGGGATTGATGAGGCAGATGTCACATAGGCAGGAACACCTACTCAGGCAGGTCTATGAAGAACTCAGGGTTGTCCGTAAAGAAAGGACAGAAGTGTATAAAGACAAGCAAGGCCCAGTGTCTCACAGCTATAATCCCAGCACTATGGGATGCTAAGGCAGGTGGATCGCTTGAGCCCAGGAGATTAAGGCTGCACTCAGCTATGATCACATCACTGACCTCTAGCCTGGGTGACAGAGCAAGATCCTGTCTCTCAAAGAAAAACAAAAAACAAAAAACAAAAAACCATGGGGGTGGGAGGGGAAAATAGAAATGTATAATGGATTTAATGGTTGGGAACCCACTAGTAACTGATGAAACAATGTTTATGGTGTGGTACAGCAGTGGTCAGCATCATGGCAAACAGTGCCTGATGGCCATGCATGTGTTCTCTTTCTGAGACTTTGCGTGCATGGAAGTAGAGACCTAGAGAGAGGCAAGTGTGGTGTACTGCCCTGGGAAAGGGGAAGCAGGGCAGTTACAATGGGAGAACGTTGAGCTTGTATATGGTGTATCCTATAGACTCTGGAGTGGACCCCTTATGATTACTCCTCTTGCAGTTTGCAGCCTGTACTTTCTCTGAGTGTGAGTTGAACCTGTGGCTTGCTGCTAACCGATAAAATATGGTAAAGCTGATGGTATGCCCCTTCCATGACTGCATTATGTACTGTAAGACTCTGTCTTGCTACCTGACCCACTCTAGAGGCTCTGTGTTCCCAGCTGGCTTTGAAAATGAAAGCAGTCATCATGGGAGACCCGCATAGCAAGGAACTTAGGTGGCCTGTAGGAGCTGAGAGCAGCCTCCAGCTTCAGCCTGCAGGGAGCCGGGGCCCTCAGTCCCTCAACTGTGAAGAAATGAATTCCGTTAATGGCCTGAGTGATCTGAAAAGAGGACTCTCCCACAGTCAAGACTCCAGATGAGGCTACAGAATGGCCAACACCTTGACTTTTGCTTTGTGAAGTTCCGAACAGAGAAGTCCTTTAAGGTCTTCCGGGATTTCTGATCCACAGAAACTAAAATGATAAATGTGCGCTGTTTTAAACCACTAAGTTTGTGGTAATTTGTTAAGCAGCAATAGATCACTAATGCATTAAATGGAAATAGGCAGTGGCAACAAACATGAAGATACAGAAGACAAAAAGAATAACTTGTTTGTCCAGCCCTGACCTCTTGCCTGGACTGCACATTAATTACTATTGCTATCATTTTATTTATTTACTTATTTACTCATTTTTTGAGATGGAGTCTCACTCTGTCTCCCAGGCTGGAGTGCAGTGGCACAATCTCGGTTCACTGCAGCCTCCGCCTGCCGGGTTCAAGTGATTCTTCTACCTCAGCCTCCTGAGTAGTTGGGATTACAGGCGCATGCCAACGCACCCAGCTAATTTTTGTATTTTTAGTAGAGACGGGATTTCATCATGTTGGCGAGGCTGGTCTTGAACACTTGACTTCAGGTGATCCACCTGCCTTGGTCTCCCAATGTGCTGAGATTACAGGTATGAGCCACTGTGCCCGGCCTGCACATTTATTATTGACCTGCCTACTCTGCATCTCCACGAGGATCTCTAGTAAGCTCCTCAACCCGAACGTATCCAAAACTGACATTGGATTCTATACTGGCTTCTCCTCTGGCCTCCGAAATGGACTTCTCTCTCAGTTTCCTCATCTCCGTAAGTGGCAACTCCATCTGTACCGTTTCTTAGGATTAAAACCTTGTGGTCACCCTTGATGTCCTCCTTTTTCACACACCACATTTAGGTTTACCAGCAAAGCCTTTTTACTCTGTCTTGAAAATAAATACAGCATCAGATCATTTCATGGCTCCTCCCTGGTACAAGTCATCAACATTTCCCCTCTGGATCACTGCAGTAGCTCCCAGCTGGGTCTTCAGGCTTTCATCCACCACCCGTACACACAGCCCATCTCGGTCTAGCATCTGAAGTAAGTCCAGTTTTTTTTCTGCCAAACTTTCCGGCAGCTGCCCTCTCAGAGATAAAGCCTAGGTTAGCATGATGACTTTCAGGGGCATATATGATCTGGCCCTCAACCCCAGAGGTTCAAAGAATCACTCTGGATTCTTTCAATAATGTGTCTTTTTGTAACTGCAGTAACACAATTTTGGACTTTTGAAATTTTTTTCATTCCTGTTAGATTATTGTATTGTCTCAAACCTAAAATACTGCCATTCAAGTCAGAATTTGAGATGCCTGAGTGTATTAGAATTCTCCAGAGAGACAAAACCAATATGATATAGATATATATGATGAGCGGGTGTTTATTAGGAAAATTGACTCATGTGATTATGGAGGCTGAGAAATCCCATGATAGCTCATTTGTATGCTGGAGACCCTGGGATGCTGGTAGCATGGCTCAGTTTAAGTCTGAAAGCCTCAGAACTAGGGACACCGATTGTGTAAATCTCAGTCCAAAGTGAAAGGCTTGAGAACCCAGGGCTTCCTGGTACAAGTCCCAAATCTCAAAGGCCAGAGAGCCAGGAGTTCTGATGTCCAAGAGCAGCAGCAGAAGAATGTCTCAGGGGAGAGAAGAATTTGCCTTTCCTCTGCCTTTTTATTGTATTGGGCCCCCAGCCAATAGGAGGGGAGAATTTCCCACTGACTCACATGCCAATCTCTTCTGGAAATACATTCGCAGACACACCCAGAAATAATATACCAGTTGTCTAGGTATGCCTTAATCCAGTCAAGCTAACATCTAAAATTAACCAGCTCATGGATTCACTTCCAGGATCCACTATTCCAAATATGGTCTGGGGACTCCTAGGGAGAACTGTGATATACTCCTAAGGAGTCCGCAATGTTAATACTGTTTTCATCATCATCATCATCATAATATAACATTTGTTGTTTTTGATCTCATCCTCTCGGTAGGGTACAATAAGGTTTTTGGGGGCCTATATGACCTATGATATACCAATAGATTTAATACAAAAGCAGATATGAGAATACAAACATCTTCTATTAAGTCAGACATTAGATTTGAAAAAAGTTAACCAATGTCACACTTCTTGTTCTTTTGTTTGGACACAACAGTTGATTTTTCACAAAACATTCTACTTATATTAACCTATATTTGGTTCATTTGTCGTATTTTAACATGAATTAGTAAATAGCATTTTAACATTTTCTGTTTTAATGTCAAATGACATAAATATTAACAAATGTCAACCCAAATAAACAAAAGCTCCTCAAGGCCCTCAATAGTTATTAAGTGTCTAAAGACATAATTAGACCAGGAAGTTTGAAGTCACCGGTGCCCCCATTTAACTTGAATGCTGTCGCAGACCTGATCCAGTACCACCCTGCTCAACCAGGACCTCAAGCCTCAACCACACCCAAGGACTGAGTACTGACTCCTTGTTTATTGTGGGGACACGTGAGCCAAACCACATCCACATGTCCATGTTCTTCATTCGTCTTCATCCCAGGTCCAGGCCTGTGGGTGTGTGCTCTGGAAATCATGGGGTTGGGTGGAAATGAGCCATCATCTCCTGGGACCCCTTAGCTGTTATGGTGGGACTTAGCTATCCTTACAACCTTGGTCCCTCCCAGCTCTCTGATTCCACGTCCTCTATCTCTGACCTGCATATCTGGTTCCCTCTCCCTCTGGTGGTCCTGTGGATTCCTCCCTCCTCTCACATCCTGGCAACTCCTCTTGGCCTCATTCCAAGTCCACAGCATCTGGTGCCAACTGGCATGCTGGGCTCAATGAGGCCACCCTGATGTTAAACAGCAGGTTCGCTACCAATCAGCTTCTCACACTTTCTTCCTGGCTGGGAGCCTTGGAACAACTAGTTGTTCCCCTCCCATAGTTACAACCAAAGGAACTACTAAAGCCACACCTAATGAGGACGTGAACAGGGGCTGAGGTCTGGAGTGGGTGTGAAAGAGGCAGCTGGAAGAGGTTCTCCCGTGTGACCAGAGGGGAGGAGGGCGTGTCTTCCACCAGGGGCGTTGTGCAGTGGCTGCCGAGACGGCCAGGGCTTATCTCCATGGCTGTGAGACAGGGAACTGATTCTGTGGGCTGTGGTGGGTCTCTGCTCTGTGAAGTGTCCGGCCCTCTTCAGGCACCGGGACCCCACTGGCTCCTGTGAATGCAGAGCAGATTAAGATGCAGCTGTCAAGGGCCTAAGCTGAACAAGGGCCTCACGGGCACAGAAAAGGCTGAATGGGGAAATGTGTAGATGTGTGATCTGTTTCTCATGTTGTAGAAGGAGACATCTCCAGCTTCAGAGTCCAGGAAGACGCCCACCTGGCAAAGGGGCTCCTCCAGAGAGAGAATCCACTTAGGCGAGGTCAGGGCCCAGTATTTCCTTTTATGCGTCTCCAAGGTCCAGAAGTCATTCTGAGGAAGCAGCGGGACCTCCCATTTCCTCAACATTGTCTCTACAGATCCCCACAGTCCACTCAATCACGTTTTCCACCTCTACCTCCAAGTGATGTTTCCCTGAGGCGAAGCTCTCCTGGCCTAGGACACAAAGCTAACTGTCGAATCTCACTGGGTTGTCCGGCATGCTCTCCCTAGAGGGTTCCAATGTCACACTCCTCTTGTCCTCTGACACGAAGAGATCGGGATAAGCAGTGTCTGGGTCCAGGACCACACTGGCTGCAGAGGAAGTCTCAGGAACTCTGTGTGGTTCCTGGTCCCCAGAGAGGTCTCAGAAAGCTGCTGCGGGATTCCCACGTAGGGGCCATTTCCCTGAAGGCCCCCTGATCCCAGGCAGCTCATACCCAAGAATTCCTGAAGCTGCACTTTTTTTTTTCTTTTTTTTTCTTTTGAGACGGAGCTTTGCTCTTGTTGCCCAGGCCTGAGTGCAATGGTGCGATCTTGGCTCACCGCAACCTCTACCTCCCGGGTTCAAGTGATTCTTCTGCCTCAGTCCCCCAAGTAGCTGGTATTACAGACATGGGCCACCATGCCTGGCTAATTTTATCTTTTTAGTACAAACAGGGTTTCTCTCCATGTTGGTCAGGCTGGTCTCGAACTCCCAACCTCAGTTGATCCTCCTGCCTCTGCCCCACAAACTGCCAGGATTATAGGTGTAAGCCATCATCCTGGCCTCTGAAGCTGCACTTCTGTCTCTCCAGAGACAGAAGCAGCACCCTCAGGTTGAGAAGAACTGAGGCTTTATGAAATCCAGAGAGTTTAGGAAATGAGCCCCAATTAATCATTCACATTTTTAGCATTCTAAGATCTACCTTTCTATTGTGTTAAAATGATTTCCTCCATTCCCCAAGTTAATATGTCTGGTTGTGACAATTTGCTATTTTGTCCCAAGTTGACAGTGGCAATTTTGAAATTCTCCTGAAGAGGAAAGGTCCGTGTGCCATGGTATCTGGTAAAGCTTGGATTCTGTGGTGCTTATGGACAGAGGGGCTGAATCATAAGATGGGAAGTGCTCACTGGGAGTAGGCAATTGGTTCTGTGCTCTCCCACTCACCCGAACTCCCTCCCCTGGCAGGCTATACACAAAGTATCAGTGCTCTTTTAGGAGCAGAAAGGCATCTCTGGCCACTTATTTGTATACCATTCTGTCAGGCTGATTGGGACCCTTTATAGCCTCTTCCCCACATGGGCCTTCAACTATGCACAGTCTACACTATCCCTAGTATATAAATTGCTAAGACAGCATTGTCTTCTTTCAAATTGATCCAGAATCAAAGAGCAAAAATCACTGAAGCATAAATCTTGGGGAGGCTACTATATACGGAAACCTCTGGTCATCATGTATTAAATTATTCCAAAAGAGAAAGGATCCTAGGATGTAAATCACAGGGTGGACTGAGAGCTGCTGGGATTCCCTGACAGAAGAGCCATGATGCATCATTGCTGGGACACTGTTGATGAACTGACCCCAGTTCCCTGCTGCACCTGCCTAGCCCTGGGCCCCTTGCTCATCTCCTCTAAGGAGTCCTGTTAGCTGGCTAGCAGGAGAAAGCTGAGATCTGAGGGAATATCAGGGGCACTCACTAGCATGTAAGAATATTCTTCTCCATCCTGCAAGGGACAGACAGAGGTGAATGTCATGAGATGCTGCTAAATGAGCAGAACACAAATTGTACAAGGAGTAGTTCAGGAAAGGGTAAACTTACGCAATTCTTCTTGAAGTTGCTCTGAGAAACAGAAACAAAATCATGTCTTCAATAGAAGAACTAAAAGAAGCTGGGTTTATAGTAAACCATGCAGGAACCATCCTTTCTACGAACAGCATCTCCCTTCCCTCATGCTTAGGGCACTGTCAGAAACCAGAAATGATATATGATTAGGTGGCTGGGTAGTACCGGTACATTGTTACACTTGTTTTTGCTCAACCATTTAGTACTTTACATAGCCAGGCGAATGAGTGCAATGCGGGCAGAATGAAAGAACGAAAGCTCTGAGATTCATCCCAAGGACATGAGAGTTCCAAGTCTTTGTTGCTGCTGCGGTGCATTTCCTGTCTCTTCCGTACGCTGGTACCTGGGAGAGTGGTGTCCTTTGTACAGTGGTGGACTGTTCTCCTACTCTTTTACCTTTTTTTTTTTTTTAATTAGAGATAAGGTCTCACTGTATTACCCAGGTTGGCCTCGACCTCCTGGGCTCAAGTCATCCGCATGCCTCAGCCTCCCACAGTGTTGGGATTCAAGGCTTGAGCCACTATACCTGGCCTCTTTTACCTTGGATTTGAAGTTCTTTCTCTTTTTCCACACATTCTTTCTCCAGTTCCTTTAGCGCAGTTTCTTTCCTTTCCTGTTCAAACTCTTTTTCCTGACAAATCTTTTTTTCCTATAATGAATATCATCAGAATAGTCATGGTAACAGGCAGGATCACCACACAGGGAGACCTGCTGGGCATGAAGGATTCTGAAAAGGCAGCCAGAAATGTCCACTTACTTTGAAACAGAATATCCAGATGAGAGCGCCCCTAGGAACACATCTCAAGAGCTCCTCAGCCACCTGCTTTGTTAGTTTCTCCCTCAGAAAACTCAGATGGAGAAAGTGATGCTGGCTCAGCCCTGGTTGACACCTCAGTGGCTTCCAGGGCCAAGGCCCAGAGGTAGCAAAGCAGAAACATCTGCAGTCACCATGGGAAGGACCAGGGTGCATAAAGCTAACCAGCCATGCTGAGTCAGCACAGCCACCACCTTGTCTCAAGCCACCATCCCTCACACCTGGAATACTGCAGTGCCCTCCTTCTTATTCTGCCCTTACCTTTTGAAGTCTATTTTCAACAGACCATCCCAAATGTAATCATGTTAATTCTTAGCTCAAAACCTTCCAATGCTTTCCTTGTCACTCTCCCTAAAAACCAAAGACTGTTTGTGGCTTATGATGCCATGTAGAATGTGTTTTCATTGTCTCTGTGAATTAATCTCCTTTCTCTTCCTGCACTCACTCCATTTCAGCCACACCAGCATCGCCTTCTGGGGGTCCTGGAAACTGCCAGAGATGTTCCTTCCCCAGGCCCTTTGCATATGCTTTTCCTGTAGCTGGCTGCTCAGTCCTTAAGCATCTGATGGTCCCTTACCATCAGACGGGATGGCTCAATTCCCATCTTTACAGTGAAGTCTTCCCTGACCATTCTGTTAAGAATTGCAATGTCTCACACTGCCTCTTTATTTCTTCCTTGCTTAATGTTTCCTGTAGAAGTTCATCACCATCTGATGGAATATATAGTCAATTATTTAATCACTTTTTGAGGGAAGAGATCTTGATATATTTTGTTCAATGATTTACCCTTGGTTTCTAGAACAGTGTCTTGAATATACGATATGCTTCTTGAGCATTTGTTGAATGAATTATGGGTGTGTATCAATAAGGATTTTTCCCAGCTCTGTCCCTTGGAAAATCCCTTGGGCAGGAAGGGATGGCTGCAGCATACAGGAACACCAAGTGTAGAGAGTCACCTATCTACACCACTCTCCCTCCATGTGTAATGGTTATTTTCAATGTTTAAAAATTGCTACATCATAAGGACCTTGCAGGAAAAAAAAAAAGACGTGGTTGACCCTCAGAGAAGAGGCTCCTACTCTTGAGTTTTGGGACTCTTTGATTCTCCTTTTGTGAAAAGGGATTAGAGAAGCTTCATATCAGCTGCAGCCTCCAGCTTCACAGGGGTCAGGACCATTCTACCCACACTGCTGCCCCCATCCCCGCTCTGGGCTCCATCTGTGTGCTGAGGATCCCCATGCACTCGATGAGTCTCAGAGAGCAGAGAACTAACCTGGAATAAAAATGACACTTTCTTTCTTCTGGCCGAACAGGGTATCATTGATAGAGCAGGACACGTTCCTCACCAACTTGTCTCTGGTAATCACAGCTGTGGTGACTATGAAGAGCCCTTCTGTATCAGGGATGGAGATCTCCTTCACGGCAGGCACGACCTCACTGTAGGGGTCCCTCCACACCGTGAGGGGCTTCAGGTACCACCCTCCAGATATGCACTCCAGCCAGATGCCCCCGTCCTCGTGGCCCCTCATTTCAATGAGGGGCTCAGAGTCCAGTCCTGGGGAGAGATACCAGGGCTCAGCTAAAAGGCAGTGGTGTCTCAGTGCTGACTGCATCTCTTCTGTGAAGAGAGAAAGTAAAGGAAAAAAAAGAGGGAGGTAAGAAGCAAGAAATAGGAAGGAAGAAACAAAGGATGAGGGTAAGGAAGAAAGAACGTTGATGTTAGAGAACACCAGGAGACCAATGGGCCACATAAACTGTGAGCTCTCTAAGAGGAAAGGATCCCATTGCACCCTTTTCTTTGTGTTCCACCTACAGGCCCCATTGCAGCACCAAGCATCTATGTGTCTGCTATAAATGCTTATTCAATTTATCCTGCAAGATTAATTTTCTCACTTAAGGTGGGTTTGTCAACTCCAACTTCAAACAGGCAGGTTTTGGAGTTCACTTTCTGGTCCTAGGATGACTTCTCAGTAGACCTCAGCTTCCAGAAGCTCTTAAATAACAAGTAGAAGGACAGAAATCTACCAGACAGGCAGAATACTAAGCAACCTTTTGACCTAAAGACATTGACCCTTTTGTCTAGTTTAGGGCTTCACATAAACACTGCTCTCTCCCACCCATAGTAGGTGATGGTTTTTAGGAGCCTCAACATGGTAGCCTGCAAAGCCAACCCTAATCCTAATTCACAGTTTACCTCCCAGAGGCTCCGTCTGTTAGGCAACATCTCTTTTGCTTTTCTTTTGATTTTCAGAGACAGGGTTTTAGCTCTGTTGTCCAGGCTGGAGTGCAGTGGCAAAGTCATAGCTCATTGCGCCCTGTAGTCCTCGGCTCAAGAGATCCTCCCACTTTAGCTTCCCAACTAGCTAGGATTACAGGCATGTTCCACTATGCTTGGCTAACATTTTATTCTATTGTAGAGACAGAGTGTTGCACAGGTGGGGCAATTTTCTTATAGTGCTTTGAGAACATCAATTTATTAGAAAGATCTGGATGCTCTTGGGATTAAGATAACCATATCACTTTTTTAATATCAGAGATCATCACCAAAAATCCTAAGAATCTAGACTTACCCTAACTACAATCCATGTTTAATGAATCTTCAGTAAAAGTGAATACCAGGTATGAAAGAGCTGCATGATCCTAGGGGATCCTTCAGCCATGCGTGAACATCCAAACTTCTTCTGAATAATTCCTTTGTAAAGTCTCCAAATTATGGCAAAGACAGGAAATTAAGCCAATAACTTAAGTCTATTGTTGTGGCTCAATTTAATTATTATTAATATTTTTTGACACAGTCTCACTCTGTCGCCTGGGCAGGAGTGCAGTGGCATGATCGTGGTTCACTACAGCCTGAACTTCCTGGGTTCAGGTGATCCTCCCACCTCAGCTTCCCAAATAGCTAAGACTACAGGCATGTGCCACCATGCGTGGCTAATTTTTTAATATATTTTTTAAAGAGATGGGTTTTTGCATGTCACCCAGACTCACTTTAATTTTTATCAGGAGATAAAACTACTTGTACATTTAAAGGCTTAGTGGAATAAGAATTAAAATAATTCAGCAAATTGGAAAACAAAGTTCTTCAAAACATTCCATGAGGTTCAATACAGGAAGTATGACAAAATAGAGTTAAAGGCAAAATCAGCCACCAACCAACCTAACAAAGAGAATACAGTAAACAAACAAACAAAAAGTCCTAAGCAGCCCAATTCAGAGTGGAGAAGGCCAGGCCAGTGTCAGTTTTACAGAGAGGGAGGAGCAGATTGCTGCCACGTAGAAACCATAACTGGCCAACCCTGCAGTGCTGCTACAAACACAGCCATGACACAGGGTAAAGAAAGTCTCCTTTCACAATATTCTGTTTTAATCACACACAAAGTTGCCATTCTGAGTAGCAAAGATGGGGTCTCCTACTTGCTATGATTTGAGGTCCCTTGGGACAGACCCAATTCCCTAATCTGCACCTCCTCTGGTCTGATGGAGTGAAATGCCACCACAGATTATCCTGCACCCGAAAGGCTTTTTCAGTCCTCAAATATATATTTTAAAGCACAATCAACTAACCCCAAGACTGAAGTAATCACTTAATATCATTTTAGCAAACTTCTAGAAATTCCAGTTTAAATGTATTTCTATGTTGAAATCTTGTGTATTCCCTGCCAGATAAATTCTTGCACTTTCTCTGTGGAGTCAGCAGGAACATAATTTTGCCTCTGGGCTAGGCGCTGTGGCTCACACCTGTAATCACAGCACTTTGGGAGGTCAAGATGGGCAGATCACATGAGGTCAGGAGTTTGAGACCAGCCTGGTTAACATGGCAAAACCCTGTCTCTACTAAAAATACAAAATATGCCAGGCGTGGTGCTGCATGCCTATAATCCCACCTACTCAGGAGGCTGAGGCAGGGAGAATTGCTTGAACCTGGGAGGTGAAGACTGCAGCGAGCTGAGATCCTGCCACTGCTCTCCAGCCTGGGCAGCAGAGTGAGACCACTTCTCAACAACAACAACAAAAAAAAAATTGCTTCTGTATTAAATCTTGCTTTAATAAAACCCTCTATTTACATATAAGTCACTCTCTTTGCAACCAGCGTTTCAGGAAAGAAGTCAGGATTAATATTTATCAAGAAATAAGATTTCAAATATCATAGTTCTCTGGGCAGTTGTTGTTTATTCCAGTTTGTCCTGGGACAATTATTAACGGAGTCTCCTCTCACTCTCAGAAGTGCACAGCTCAGTGCTAAGGCATGCATAAGACTTCTCTTCTGAGATTCACCATTTTCCCCTGCTCATGGCCTCAGATGAGTTCTGCGTGTGCTTCTCAAGAAGTCAAGCCCACGGCTTAGCAGGGCAAGCTCACTCATGGTGGCCCTTGTGCAGGAGGAAGGATTTTTCCCTGGACTCTTCTTTCCATAGGGTGAGTGTCTCTGTGGAAAGGGGATCCAGGAAAGAGGACTGTGCTGGTCTGCAATGGGCCAGAAGTTAGGAGATATACTTTCCCCAAAAGTCATACTGTGCCAAAGTAACAAAGCAAATGAAGAGACACACCTGCAACCACGAGGTGCAGGCTGGCCTCATCGTAGGACCTGCCTTCTTGGAAGTAACAGCGGTAGGTGCCGTTCTCCTGGACTGTGATGTTGTGTATGACCAGGGCCACGCTGCCCCTGCTGATGTCTTTGCTCACAAAGATGGTTCTCCCTCGGTACTCCTCCATCTGCTCCTCTGTTCTCTCTCTCCCACCCTTATACACAAACACTGCGAGGAAGAACTGAGACTGGAACCACCGCACCTTCATGTCCTCAGCATTTTTCTCGGGTGACAGATGGCAGCGTAACTTAGTGTTTTCTCCCACCATGGCCAGGATGGGATCAGTGCCCCACAACAGTGACCTTGGCTGTTCAACACAGGGGCAGAATCAGACAAAGACACCAGCCATCACATCTCTAAAGCAGGAAAGGAAGCAGATATTGCAGGGACAAAAATATTCTTTCCATGGCCATAGGGTCTTCTTGGGCTGAGAATTCTGCGGACCAGTAGCTGTGGCTAGTTTACAGCACCCCTGGGAGCAGTAACTATGAAATCTGCTTCTGTTTCATGAAGGAAACCCTGGGAAGCCTGCCCTGAGCACCCTCTGTCCACCCTGTGCCCCATGAGGAGAATTTCCTCCATTCCCCAATCTAGTGCTGTGCCTGAGTGTACTGTAAACTTGAGCTGTGCAACAGGGCACCTACCCACTAGCTCATTCCAACTGAAATGAGCTGTAAGTATAAAATACACACAGGATTATGAATATTTAAAATTTCAAAATGTTGACTAAGCATTTAAACATTCATATTTGGTTATTTGGGGTGAAACAGATGTAGTATACACATTTATTTTGATTTGCAAATGAGTTTCAAGTTTTGACAGCAATTTGGGCAAGTCTCTTCCTTTGAGTAACCTCTAGCTATGGAGTCCTTCCAGGGGAGGCCCAGACTTTTTGTTGAAGAGAAAAACCATTCCTACTGTGCCCCTTTCAAATTCCAGATTCCTGCATTACTGAATCAATGAGCATAGTGCCATGATTGTGTAAGTTGGTAATTTTCCAGATTAAAACAATATTAGCCAATACATATACCTTATCTGAAGAGAACAAATTTCCCAGAACATACTAGAATGATACTGGGACCCTAAGGGAAAAAAAGATGAGAAACTTGCCCAAACTCCTTCCATCTTGAAGCTTCCTCTCTGCACATGTGCTTTGGTCTGCTGTTTCCGCAGTTCACCTTCTTTTCCTCTTTTGGACCATAATGTGAGTGGAAGAGTTCTTCCCACAACTCCCATGCACTCCTGCTACAGGTACAGCTAGTCACATGTCACTTGAAGGTTCCCTGGCCTAGCCTGGGTTGGGTGTCCATCCCAGACCCAGTCCATGTGGTGAGGCTGCAGGGTCATGCTATACGGACATGTATTGGAAGACAAGAGGTCACTAATGCTAAATGAATGTGGTGCAAGGAGGGCAGTGGAACCTTGAAAGGCATTCACTATATTCTCAGAGGCGGAGCCCTTAGAACAGATACTGTTGATGTCCCGTCCCATATTCTTTTGGCCTATAACAATTTGCCAATAGTGCAATAGTGGAGGAACACAGTTTCCTTCAAGGATAACAACATCCGGCCTCCGTTATCTGTGTTTCTCCTCTGCTTTCTCTAACACCAGTGGTATTTGCTTTTTTTTTTTTTTTTTTGCAGATGCACAACCCAACCTTGAACTACAGCAGAACTAACATTCCCAGGGGCAACTTTCAACCAATTTAAGCAAAAGAAGATGGGAGGTGTTGATAAATGTACAAGGGTCCCCAGGCTTTAGGAAGATTCTGATGTATATCCCACAATTTCATATAGTTTCTTACAGTTCTCGGGTGGGATAAGCCGAGTTGTCTATATGGTAACTCATTAATGAACTCTTTATGCCATTCCTCACACAACTGGCTTTTCCCCTTCTGTGATTCACTATTCCTTCCCTTGTGTTTCTTGCAATGATTTCCCAAATAAGTGGTAGCTTCAATAGTGCTCCTCCCTCCATACACACCTAGTGATGTTTACTGTGAAACATGTGACAATGATATATAACATGGCAGAATGTACCTTATAGAGTTAAGGTTATGGACTTTAAAATTTAGTGATTATTCTAAATTATGTGGGTGGTCTTAATTGAATCACAAGAGCTCTACAAAGTAGAAGGCAGAAGAATCAGAGAGATGCAATGGAAAAAGAACCAGAAAAACTTCAAAGATTGAAAGTCCTCAATGCATAATTGCTGCTTTGAAGATTGAAGAAGGGAGCTGTGAGCTGAAAAACAGCAGCCTCTAGAGATGGGAGGAGACTTCAACTGTAAATCAGTAAGCAACTGCGACCTCTGTCTTGTAATTGCAAAGAATTGAATTCTGCCAGCAATTTGAATAAACAAGAAAACATATTGTTCTCCAGAGTCTCCACAAAAGAATCCAGCATGCAGACACATTGATTTTGGCTGGGGAGATCCCTGTTGGACTTTTGACCTATAGAACTGAGAACCAAAAATTTGTGTTGCTTTAAGTCTAAGAATTTGTGCTAATTCATCATAGCAGCAGTAGAAAACACATACAATAAAGGTTTTGTGAAAACACTACAATGAGGTAAACTAAAACTGTGGGGAGTACAGTGGGTGTGTGGACTATTCTGCTGTGCTAGTAGACTTATTAGAGTCTAGAAAAAGCCAAGTTGAAGAGTAAGCCTTATTAACAAATTTATTGAACAACTAGAACTTGACAAGCACATGCCAGGTAGAGGGCATGCAGTGGTGAGCAATAATAATAATGTTAATGAGAAGTAGTTTTTCCCTAGCAGGCTGCAGTTGAAAGGAATATTGGTTTAACATCCACCAGTGAGCAGGGATGGATAGACCCCTTTCCTGGAGACAGAGTCCATAAGAGGATTAAAAATATCCCTGTAGGCCGGGCACCCTGTGGCTCAAGCCTGTAATCCCAGCACTTTGGGAGGCAGGCAGATCATGACATCAAGAGATCGAGACCATCCTGGCCAACATAGTGAACTTCATCTCTACTAAAAGTACAAAAATTAGTTGGGCGTGGTGGCGTGCACCTGTAGTCCCAGCTACTCGGGAGGCTGAGGCAGAAGAATTGTTTGAACCCGGGAGGTGGAGGCTGCAGGGAGCCGAGATCGCATCACTGCACTCCAGTCTGGCAACAGAGTAAGACTCCGTCTTAAAAAAAAAAAAAAAAAAAAATCCCTGTAGTTCTTCTAGGTTCCTTCATCCAAATTTCCCCAGAGAAGCTTTACGGTATTTTCTCTGCCTGGAAACCTTGACTGTAGGAAGGCTGGCTCTGGCTGGTCGATCACTTATCACATATGTTGGGTGGGCACACATCTGTTCCCCAAGATTTATCAAGTGTGGCCTCTGGTCTCTTTCCAAATCACGTGTCATGTGGATACGGTGAAGTTATTATCTCAACCAAGACACTCTGCAGAGCTAATCCAAGGAGTGCTGGGTCTAAGGCTCTGATAATCAGCTGGGAAGGAGTCAACAGGAATGTCAACTCCACAACCACCTACAATGATCCTTACCCTGGAGCTGTCCTGGGAAAAGAACCTCAGGGCTACAGGTGGGTTCTTCCTATCAGCGAAGAATCCGGGTGGAAAAGAATGGGCAAATGGCCAGGGACTGAAGCTGACCATCTCCCAGCTGCACAAATTACTGCATGAGTTATGTAAGTTACTTAATGTTGCCCTGCCTCAGCTTCCATACTTGCAAAATGAGACTACCTGACAGGGTGTTGTGAGGATTAAAGGAGTGACATCCACCAAAGCTCGTAACACAGCACTCAGAACATTTTTAAGTTCTCCATTAATGTTAGTTACTGCTGTTTAGATCCCAGCTCTGTTATTAAGTAGTCATGTCTACTTTGTAAAGTGAATTCACTTTTCTGCACCCCAGTTTCCTTATCTGTCTAAGAGGACAATAAAGTGGTACTAAACTCAAACAACTGGCATATGAATAATTGAACGAGTATCAGTGAAGTGCTTCAGTGTGTGCCTGTAGCTTATGGTTGTGATTGGTTGCTGTAGAGGGGGAGGCCCTCAGCCCTAAGCTGGGCAGGGAGAAGCAGAGACAAGTTACTTCAGCCTGAGGCTCCCCACTTTCCCTAGCTAAGCCCAGGGTCACTGGTGTCTCTAGGGAGACACCTAATGATCACCACTCAGTCAGAATTGGAGGAACTCTCTTCTTCTTTTGGCGCTGGACAAATGGTCAGGGCAGTGGGCTCCAAAGTCAAAATTCTGAAAACAGGATATAGAGGCTCAGAGAAGTAGTTGTCCATGAAAGTATGAATATGCGATCCATTCACAGCATTGTAGAATGAGATATCTCCAGTCTCATAGTCCAGGAAGACCCCCACTTTCCTAGGGGATTCCGGAAGTTCCAGGTTGGTTCTGGGCTCAGTTAGAGTCCGATACTTTTTCCCATCAGTCAGCCCCATAGTCCAGAATCCGTTCTCAGGTGTCATTTTGACCCAACCTTTTCTCTGCACATTCTTACTACACACCCCTATATGCCACTCTTTCCTGTCCCCTACCTCCACCTCCCAGTAATGTCTCCCTGACATGAAGCTCTCACAGCCGAGAACACAATAATGCCAATCAAATCTCTCAGGGTTGTCTGGCAGATCCTGGGGCTCCTTGGCACGCTGCACACTCCTCTGGTCCTCAGAAACAAGGAGGATGGGGTTTGCTGTTTTGGGATCCAGAATCACATCCGCTGTAGAGAATTTGAGGAAGTGTCCATGGGGTCAACCATTTTTCCTGGATTTCAGAGCTTCAGCATACAAGACCTGGGCTGTGCTGAGGAGACCTGAGTCCAGAGCCCGGCGTCCCTAGCCTTCCCTAAATGTGACTCTCTCATTGATGCCAGGAGAGAAAGCCCCACGTATCTTGTATCCAGAGGGGAAGAGGAGGGTGAAATGAGAGTTGCCTCAGCATCTGCCTAACCCAACACCCTGATGCTGCCTCAGGAAGCAGCAAGCATCCTCTTTCTACCTTTTTCTTGTTTTCCTCCCCACATTGACTCTGCCCACTAATGCTTTATGATCAGAGGTCAATTTTCAACCTTCATTTGACCACTCATGAGCTAAATGTGTACCCCTTTTCTGCAGTCTATTTTCCCATACATCCAATTTATTTAACAAGGTGGAGCCTCGTCTAAGGCATTCCCTCACCTGAAAAATGGGGATAAAAATACGAATCTCTAGCATAGTATAGGGGAATCATGTTATTTATTCAGCCCACGGCAGGGCACGAAGGAAGTTCCTGATGTTCTAATAGCTGCAAGGCTGTCTCTGTGCTGGGCTCTATGTGGGGCCTTATATGACCTAGATTCACTCTCCACCCTTTAACTTTCTCCACACTCTTTTGGGCCCCAGGAATCTGCCCTCTAAGCACAGTGCCACTGGGCTCCCTTGTCCTCTGGTTTGCTGTTGGGTTTGGCCAATGGGAGGCCCTGATAGAAGATTGGAAGGAGAAAGAAATGAGAGACACACCGTTTATTTTCCTGCTTCCTCTCTGCCTGCAGCAGCTGGTGTGGCTCTAACAAGGCCTGATGACTGTTCTCAGGAAGCCCTGTCTTTGAGCTACCTCTTTCTCTGGGTTCCAGTAACTGCCTCCCCTCCCTACCCCTCCCAGGCTAGGGGTGGAGACAGCTCCCCACTGTTGGGAACCATGGGGGCACTGCACTTTTCTTTGTTGCTTTCCCTTAACCCTCCTTTCCGCAAACCTTCTTCAGCCACCCAGTTTGAATTTATCATCTCCTTCTTACTAGGTTTTTGACCAATGGATATGTATTATTCCTTCAGTCTTCACCTCAACCCCCACAAACACAGATTGAAATCATCACCTAAAAATATGGAGGCCAAAGCTCAGAAGCATTACGTTTTTTGAGGAGGCACTGGCAGTAGGTGGCATGAGAAGTCTGGGAAGGACTAAGTTCTTTGGGCAGCCATTGCCTCCTCTCCTTGGCATTTCCATCCTCACTCTCCCTGCAGTATCACTCAGTGTGTGCCTCTTTCCCCTCAGCTCCACCCTTTCTGTGTCTTCCTTCCCAGGAAGGTCTGAGGAATCCCAAGATATCTAATCACCCTGGTTCCCTGGGCTCTCAGTGGGAAGGGTCTTGGAGATGGGTCCACTTTTCAGATTGGAATTTATTGTTGCCTACCCCAAATTCCTAGTCATGGTTGCTTTTCTTCCCCAAATCACAACAGTTGGAGAAGTAAACAGGAAAAGGAATATAGTCCTTCAGGTTGGTGGTCCAGGGAACATACAGTGATTTACTCACCTGGCTTGAAGAGGGCCTTTTTCCATTCTGAAAGGAAGGAGACACAGATAAGGAAAAGGTCAGTATTCTTGTACTTTCCCCACTGCATTCTCTCCTCACTACATGTTTTCTCTCCTTTTCTTGTGAATCTCTTCCAGGGTCCAGCCTCCCTTCTCTACAACTCTGATGGATCAGAGATGGCACTTTCTAAAAAATGGTGGGCTCTGTTCCCTCTGTCATGAAGGGTACAGGCTGCATGGCCAGGCTTTGCAAGGGGGTGTGTAGGGTCAGGAGTCTCTCAGATTCTCCAGAAAAGCAGAAATCAACCCCCCACCATAGAGAAATTGAGTCTTTTGGTTAAATCTGATTCATGCAAATGAGAACATCAGTGGGTCACAGCAGAGAAAAGGTTGAAATGTTCATGGCACGTGTCCCAGCAAACTCAGAGAGCATCAGGCTCACTCACCATTATAGGCTGAAGGTCTCTCTCCCACTACAATGAAAGAAAGGTAAAGATGTCACCTTAGCTTGCCATGTTTGATTTGGCCCTATTCCCTTGACTTTACATTAATCTAATCTTTTTCTTTTCTTTTTTCTTTCTTTTTTTTTTTTTTTTTAACCACCTGTATCTTCCTCCTCTGCAGGTTCAATTCTTTCTATGGTGTCGTTCTTAATATCAAATCCAGGAACATCAGTCAATGCTAGTAACATGGCAGACACTGTGAGAGTTCCTTCCTGATGGTGTTCAGCTGATATATTTGGAATGTATCTATACTGCTATACCTAGGCATAGGTGTCACCATGTCTATATGCATATATATATATGTGTGTGTGTGTGTGTGTATGCAAGATCCTTCTATTTAAATCTGTAATTTCCTACCTTACCCTGAAAAAAATTTGGGAAATTTAATGAGCAATTTCAGGAACTAGTTTTTGAAGCCAGTTAGAATAAATTGGTACCAACTGAGAAACCATTCAAGCCACTCTTGTTTATTAGACACAATTTTCTCCCTCTCTCTTTTCTGATTTTCTTGTTCTTTGTTATCTTTTGTTCTTCTTTGCCTTCTCTGGAGCCTATAGATTATGTAAAATGACGAGTGAAGTTCCTACCATAGAGAATGCACTTGATCCACCTCTTCCCCCTTCCTTTACAAGTGTGCCCCTGGATATTCCTCAGTGCTTTGCAGGGCTATAGAGTCTGTGGCCCCTGGTAGAGATAAATTGAAGGCATCTTTTCTTGGAGAGCAGTTGAGAGAGAGAAAGAGAGCGAAAAAGAAACACTTCTCCTGGGTGTTATTCCAATGAGTCACATTCTTTTTCTTTTTTCCTTTCTTTCCTTTTTTTTTTTTTTTGGCAATGACTAGGAATTGGCACATTTATTTTCTTTCCTTAGTCAAAGAGATCTAAGACCACTTCCTAACGCTGGGGAAAAAGTTAAGAGTGGAAACTATTCAAGCACAGACAGTTAAAGATTCAAAATCAGAAAAAATGTCAGTCACTTACAAACCGTGTACTGCATACTTCTCCATCCTGCAATGGAAGGAACAGGGAAGATGCATCAAGGCTCATAAAGCAGGGACAGGAAGACATGTCTGGGTCTCTGGGGGAATGGGAACTTACTGAGTTCCTCCAGGAGCTTCTCTGGAAAATAAGCAGAAAAAATAATGAACTGTTACAGGTGAGGGAGTTCTCTAAAAAATAAACCTTAAAAACAACCCAGCTCTGGGGTGGGGATGGGTATGAGGTCTTTGGGCTTTGGCCTGTAAGCCAGGGGCTCAGGTAAACTCCCGGGTCAGCTACCTCTTATGCTTTTTTCTTGCTTCACTGTGCTCCATGCCAGTTCTCTCAACTCTTGCTCTCTCTTTTTCTTTCTGAACAGAGTCTTTTTTTCCTCCTGCTGTCGCCACAGGAAGTAACTGGCTCCCCCAAGAAGCAGCAGCAAGACAGGCAGGGTCCCTGCCAGGGCAGCGATCCAGTTCTGGGCGCTCCTGAAGAAGGGGCCTGTGAAGGGAAGGGCTGTGGGCCAAGGGGGCCAGTGCACTCAGCCTCCCCAGACTGCAGCACCCCAGGTGTTAGCTGATCACCCCAGGTCACAGGGCACGGAATCTATCTCACAAGGTTAAATAATCTTTCTCATCCTAAAATCTCAGAGGACAATGGGTAAGACTTTGATAAACCCCCACTAGAGGCTGCTACTATTCCTTCTCTTGAGATGTCTGCCTCTCATGTGGAAAGTGAGTGACTAGAGAATATCATACACTTTTTTTCTAATTCAACTTTTTAATAGGTAACACATGCACATGGTTCAAAAATACATGTATAAAAAGTCACACAAGTCTCCCATCCACCCAGTCCTCCCTCCCACCCTCCCTTTTTTGACTTCAAATTAGTCTACTTAATATGATGCTTAAGAACAGGAACTTTGGAGCTGGAGGCCCTGGGTGTCAATGCTGGCTCCTTTAGGTGACTTGCAGTGTGACTTTAGACTAATTACTTAACCTCTCTGTTCCTACTGCCCTTCTCCTGAAGTGAGAAGGATTAAATTAAAACTTATAAAGTGCCTGACACCTAGTGGGTGTTATGACACTGCTTGTTAACTTAAAAATGTAAATTAAAATATATGCTTGTTTTTCCTCTCATTTGCACTAAAGATAGCATTCCGTACACACCACTCTGCATTTTGCTCTTTCTGTGCAAAGTTAATCTTGGAGATTTTTCTTCTTCAGTATAGAGAGAATTCTCTCTTTTTTCTTTCACACTTGAGTGGTATCCATTGCATGCAAGTTCCCCAGCAGTGAACATTTGCATAGTTTCCAACCTTGTGCAGTCATAATCAGTGCTATAAAAAATAACTTTTTACCTGGATCAACTCACACAAATGCAAGTTTATCTACCAAATCAATTCCCAGAAGCAGAACTTTGGATTACTAAAGATGTAGTTTGGATATTGTTATGTAGTCCCCAACAGAGGTTGTGCTAATGCACACCAAAAATACAAGTCATCCCTGCATATGCCTAGGAGTCACAGTCTTCCTACATTCCTGCCATAACCATGTGTTATCAACCAACAGATGTTTGTTTTGATTTTTGCCAATACCATAAGTGAAAAATGATTCAGTATGTTTCTCTAATGAGTGAGAATGAGCACTTATTTGTGGGTTATTTCCTTTTCTGTAAATTAAACAATGTATGACCTTTGTTAAAATGTTTTACTCAGCTTTTAAAATCTTCTGTCTCAAGGAGATTAGCCCTTTCTCTATGATATGGGTTTGTAAATACACACACACACACACACACACACATATATATACACACACACACATACATACATGTTTTCCCTTTCCGTCTTTTGACTTTACGTAAGCAGCTTATCTTAACAATTATTCCCCAATTCCCATTGCCTGTCACATTTTCTGGCAGACAGAAAATGTTCAGTAAATGTTTGTGTCATGAACAGCTTTATGGAGGAGAGAAGCTCACCTGGTGCAAGGAGGAGTCTCCAAGTCTGTGTTTTGGGCCTTATATTCAGTGCAGAGACCCAGGTTGACTGCAGACACTAACACCTCCCCCTTCATTCAACTGCCACAGCTCAGTTCAGAAGATCTGAGGCAAGCAGGTACTGACCTGCGATGGAAATGCTGGCGGTCTTTTCCAGGCCGAGGAGGGAACTTCTGATGGTACAGGAAACACCCTCCCCAGAGCTGCCTCTCAGGATCACGGATGCTGCTACTGCATACAGGCCCACTCCATCTGCAAACACAGGTGCTTCCACAGCCGGGATGTTCTCTCCCTTGTCGTTGCTCCACTGTATTTGGGGTTGTGGGTACCAGCCAGTGGACCTGCACTCCAGATGGATCCCTCCATCCTCATAACCCTTCACGTCAATGTGAAGATCAGAACCCAGTGCTGTGGAAGGATGAATCAGCCTAAATTCTTGAGAGCTCCTGTGTCATGGAGGGTCTCAAAAGGAATCAGGGCACACTCACATTCCATAATTCAAGAAGAATTTCATTTCAGAGCTGCTTACAAAAGTGTGGTCCTGGTGAGGAGAAAGCTACATGAATGAGTGCAGTATCCCAGGGTCAGTGACAGTGGGGCTATTCCCACCCACTCCAGTTACCAGAGGGAGGAGGAGAAGGAGCTGTTTTGAAGACATAAAAGAAGATATTTATGCATTGAGGACTTTCTTGAGAGGGACAGTGACCTTCAGCAAGGCAATGCAGTCAGGCCGAGGGTACCTTGCAGGAAGGAAGCCAGGGAATAAGCACCCAGACCTCTATTTTCTCTCCCTCCCTTCTGCATCTGCTACAGATCCCTACTGACCAAACCCTTAAACAGAAGCCACAGGGAAAAGGATTGCACTGAGAAAGAAAAGGGCAGCCCCCTCATCTGGAAGCAACAACAGGATTCAGTGTCCTCCTGTTGAACAAAAGGGATTTCACAGAACACCAGCATCAGATGATGGCACTTTGTGACTATGATGGATCATGGGAAAAACAAGACCACCCCACATCCTGTGTGAGCAAAGAGAAAAACATGAACACTGTGCAAACCACAGCAATGACCAAAACATCCCCCATCGACAATCAGGGATTGCTGTCCCTTCATCAATTACAGCTTCAGTCTCACCCTAGTCTCCTTCTTCCTAGATAAGATTGATTAAGGTTCTCACTCATAGAATCAACCTGTGCACACCTTCCTGACAACATCTCATCCAGAGCAGAGGCTGAAGTCTATAAACCCTCCTCCAAAATCCCCTAACACAAGCCCAAATTACATACTAAGTCAGCTCTAACAGCTTCTCACTGAGACTCCGCCACAGCTCCCCATGATGTGTGTTCTTCTTCAATGCAACAAGTAAGAAACACAGCTCCCATGACTACAGGTGTATTCTAGGGTCATTGGCTCGAGAACATTGGCAGCAGATACAGTCCCAAAAGCCCAGTCTTCTAGGGCCCACAATAGCATGTACCTAGTGGGGCCACAGAAGCCACCTGGTACACAACTATACACGAATGACTGTGTACCTCTCACTGAAGAGATGATTTCTTATGCTTCCTATCCCTCCTCCCTCACTTTGCTTATTTCTCTGGTGGCCAGCAGAAGGGATTTCATTACTTGAGCATGTAGGGCACAGCAGGAATTCTTCCTAAAGGAAAACCTGTGTCTTTCTTAAAGGCCTCAGACAAGCTAAGTTGGAAGGCAGTGCAGGCAATTGCTAGTGAGCAGCCAGGAGTGTCTGCAGTGCTTTTGGAAGAGGAACTCTGCATCTGCTCTAGATCCTACAGAGAAGTGTTCTCAGAACAAAACCTGGAGGCTCACCTGCAACCTTCAGCTCCACCAGGGCTTTTTCATAGAAGTCGCCATCTTGGAAATAACACAAGTACTTTCCACTGTCAGAGGCTGTGACGTTGTGTATTCGGAGAGCAGCCTTCCCTGCAGCGATGCCATCCCGTAGAATCGAAGTTCTCCCTCGATACGCTGCACTCTGCCTGTCTTCCACTTCCTTTCCATCTGCATACACGTTCACCACCTGCCTTAGGTTGGAACTCACCCACCTCAGCTCCATGGTCTCTGCGCTCATGGTTGGGAATAGGTGACAGGGCAGATCAGCATCTTCACCTACCATGGCCAGGATGGGCCCAGGCGGTCCAACCACAGCAAACTGAGCTGTTGGCACAAGGGGGAGGATCTGTCAGAGGGTGTTGGAGTTGGGATCAGGAGAGGAAGGATGCTTCTCAGACAGGGAAGGCGAGATACCAAGAATCTAGGGGGAGGCTGGGCGCGGTGGCTCATGCCTATAATCCCAGCACTTTGGGAGGCCGAGGAGGGCTGATCACAAAGTCAGGAGATCGAGACCGTGGTGAAACCCCACCTCCACTAAAAAATAAAAAAAGAGGCTGGGCGCGGTGGCTCAAGCCTGTAATCCCAGCACTTTGGGAGGCCAAGATGGGCGGATCACGAGGTCAGGAGACCGAGACCATCCTGGCTAACACGGTGAAACCCCGTCCTACTAAAAAATACAAAAAACTAGCCAGGCGAGGTGGCGGGTGCCTGTAGTCCCAGCTACT